AGGGGGAGGAGGAGGAGGAGGAGGAGGAGAAGGAGGAGGAGGAGATTTTTTTAAAATTCTTGGTAAAAGAGGGTAGGGTACAGATGAACTGAACATGCGGCTATTTTATTTTAAAATGAAGAAAATTACAATGAATGAAAACGACAAGCGAGAAGGGGGGTGCTCATTGATTGCCAGACTACTATCATGTAAATCAAATTATTTTTTTGAAAAAAATACTGAGTACTGTAATTAACAGGAACATGTAGGCTGTATCAATATGTCACTAATCTATTACCATTGTCTCATATTTTTACCAGATTCTGTACATGGCAATTGTCTTGTACGCCCCCAGTCTAGCGCTCAATGCTGGTGAGTTGGTACTTTTTATATTCTTCTGTTTAAGTGCAAAGTAAGTACAGAAAGCTCTCAAAGTTTACTCTTAACTTTTCTTACGTTATGTAATCAAACAAGATATAATATTTATTAATTAAACAAAAAAATTATTTCATGTATAATATATTATACAATTTTTAATACACATTTTCTTGAAATTTATTTCACATAAAGCTTTACATGCTTCAAAAAAGAAAGTTGTCGAAAAGTAACTTTCTAATGATTCTAGAGTATTTTATAGAGATGGAAAACTACCAGTACATGCAAATGCTTGGATGACTTATATTATTTTCGCAAATTTAATTTTTAGGTAATGGAGTTAAACCATACTAGAAATCTAGTAACTTTCCCTTTTGTCACTTACAACAGCGATTCAGTGTTTACTTAATTCCCTTTTCCTTGAACTTTCCGTTACTCTGCGTGTGTTATCCAAAATTGCGTCTGTCCTCTTTGAGTAACACGAAAGTGGTTTCGTTTCGAAATATTCTGCATTTGATTTACGTGTGGGTTACATTGTGTCCACTCAGGTAGAATATATACGCGCTTCTCCAAACTCAAGGTAGACACATACGTCAGCCCCCACAGCGAGCCACGACTTTATCGAAAAATAATTAAATTTATCAGAAGGGGAGATCCATCAAAGGTTTTGTTAATGATGTCTGTTTACTCTTTATAGTGTTTCTACTCTGAATTCAGATCTACGTAAGGGACGACGTATTATCATTTTACACCTTACGTCAGTGAATAGAGACTGGAGGAGGGGGTATGCCCCCCCCCCCCCCAATAAATCCTGGTACAAATAATGGTCATATAAGAGTACTAGAACTCCGTGACTGTGAGTTGGAAAGACAAGCAAGTGATATAAACATAATTTCATTATTTTTCAAATCTCTCATCGCAATTCATGGCCTGGTTGGCGCTTTCTTTTGTCACAGGGAAGAACACCATTTACAAAGGTTTCACGTTATTGTCATACTAGGACATTTCCCCGGAAGCATCAACGCCAGAGCTGCATAATTTGTTTATATTTATTTGGGATGTAACCACAACGTTGCCAAACATGGGGGCACGATCTACTTAATTTCTGAACGGTGTGCATGAGCACCTTTTGAAATTAGACGTTTTTTTTTACTCTTGTAAACCCTCTCTGACGCTTCAGAAACCTTTGATGAATTCAAAATATGGTTCCAAAGTAAGAAATTAATGTACGCGCTTTTAAATTGAAAAAAAGGAGAACCATGTTGAACGTGTCTTTGGCTGTTCGTCGTTAAGGTTAAGTTCGAGCTGCTTGAAGTAGAAGAAAGACTTAAGGTTGCACTGACCTATCCTCCAACTTTTGGAAATTAAATTGTCTGTTATTTTTGTAGAAATGTAACGCCAACTCGCAGTATTTGGTTTTCATCTACTGCTTTTCCAGGTCATTAATTGGTACTACTGAAATGTTATTTCTCTCTGTCCTTGCTCTGGCCAAGAATGTCGAATGTCGTTTCGTTTAATTCATAGCTTCTTGGCCGGAGTAGGGTATCTCATAATAATATATCGTTAAAGACAACGACAGATGCTTTAGTGAGCCTACTTATTACAATAACCAGACATAAAAAGTATGAAAGATACGAAACTGATTAATACAAGTGTTCTTATTCGATAAATGTCGATATCATTGTTTTTTGTTTGTTTGTTGTTGTTTGTTTTGGTTTTTTAAAAAATTTTTTTTTGGGGGGGGGGGGGGGGTGTTAAGACTATACTTTGGTCACTTTTGGTTTTCATCAACCGCTTTTTCAGGTCATTAATTGACACTACTTTCATCTAATATCTCTCTGCCCCTGTTTTGGTCTAGAATTTCGAATGTTGTTTTGTTTAATTCACCGCTTTTCAGACGAAGAAGGGTAGCTAACAATAAATATAAAATCTTTAAAGACAACGATGGATGCGTCAGTATGCATACCGTACTTTTTACAATAGCCAGACATAAATAGGGTGAAAGATATGAAACGGAAATAGAAAAGTGTTCTTATTTGATAAATGCAGATACGATAATTTTTTGGGGGGACGTATTATATCACTTTTGGTTTTCTTCCACTGTTTTTCCAGGTCACTAATTGGTACAACTGTCTCTGCTCTGGTACAGAATGGCAAATGTCGTATAGTTTATTTGACCGTTTCTCTAGAAAGCATACTTATCACAGTAACCCGAAAGAAAAAAAAACAGGATGAAAGATATAAAATTGATAAGAATAAGTGTTCATATTCGATAAATACTGATGATATTTTAGGGTATTTTGGATTGTACTTTGGTCACTTTTGGTTTTCAATGAAAGCTTTCCCAGGTCATTAGTTGGTACTACTGTCAAGTAATACGAGTATGTCTGTCCCTGCTCTGGTCTAGAATATCGAATGTTGGTTAGTTTACTACTTTTTAGCTTTACGGGTGGAGGTGGTTATCTCATAATATATCATTAAAGACAACGATAGATGCTTCAATGAGCATACTTATTACAATAACCAAACATAAAAAGGTATGAAAGATATGAAACTGATAAAGACATGTGGTCTTATTTGATAAAAGCCGACATGTTATATTGTGGTTTTTAGACTGTACTTCGGTCACTATTGGTTTTCATACACCGCTTTTCCAGGTCATTAATTGGTACAACTGTAATGTAATATTTTTTTCTGTCCCAGCTCCGGTCTAGAATGTCAAATGTCGTATAGTTTAATCAATTCATCGCTTCTCAGCCGTTGTTGGGTATCTCATAATATATCTGTAAAGACAGCGATATCCTTACATATTTCTTTACCCCGACATAAGAATGATGAGAGATATGAAACTGATAAATGTAAGTGCCCTTATTCGATAAATGCTGATAATATTGAATTTATGTTATGTTTTTTTGTTGGTATATTTTTGGAACGTACTTTGGTCACTTTTAACTTTCATCAACCGCTTTTCAAGGTCATTAATTGGCACTTCTTTCAATCAAATATCTCTCTGTCCTTGCTCTGGTCTAGAATGTCGACTGCGGTTTAGTTTAATTATCGCTTCTCGATACACACACACACACACACACACACACACACACACACACACACATACACACACACACACACGCACGCACGCACACACACACACGCACAGAGAGAGAAAGAGAGAGAGAGAGGGAGTGAAAGGGAGAGGGAGAGGGAGAGAGAGAAAAAGAGAGAGAGAAAGAGAGAGAGAGAGA